TCAAGAGGAGAATGGAGAAGGGACTGCGGCATGGTCATATTCCCTGAAGGGTGATTTCTTACTTTCTCTCTGGTGAGCACGCATACCCTATAGCAACAATCTCAAAAAAAAAAAAAAAAAAAAAAAGGAAAGGAAGGAAGGAAGGAAGGAAAAGGGGGCCACTCTGTCCTGAGCCCTCCACTTTGAGGGCTTCCTTTTGGTGTCCAAACAGAAGTGAAAAAGAAAGATGCTTTCAAAGACCAATATTTATTTTTCTTATGTTTGATTCTTCTAAGAGAAGGCAAAATGAAATAATTATAGCTAATATGGATACTTGTGGCAGCTGATAAAAATCACTCTCATTTGCTTTACACACATCATAGAGGGTCTCAAGACGTTCCTGTTTTTATGGGAACTGTTCAGAGGCAAGGGGGAGTCCCAAGAAGGGAAAAAGCAATGGGATTCAAATGGCCCTTTCCTAGGTACACACCAGGTACCTATCAGTGGATAAATGTGCAGGCTCTCAAGTCTGGCTGCCTCAGTTCACATCTGGTCTCTACTATTCAATACTTGCTGGCTCTGTGGCCGCGCTGGGTAAATGAGGGGAATTCTCTGGACCTTACTGTTTTGTTGGCAAACTGAAACAGCTCCAGCGTGTTCTTGTGAGAATCAAATGAAATAAGCAATGGAAACAAACTCAGCCCAGGGACTGGAGCATAGTAAGAATGAGAATATTATTACTAATATATTTTCATCATGCAAGCTTATATTTCAGATACACCAGAAAGTGATTCCATTGACTTTAGTAGGAAAATCTAAAAAAAAAAAAAAAAAGTCAAAATCATCATTTTGACTAAAAGTAAATCCATCACTCATGAAAGTAGTAAACACTGAGTGTTCTTTCTCCCTTGGAATTTTTTCCATTGTAAAATAGAAAGCCATGTCAAATTTGCTTGGTTAATTTTGGCCTGAGAGGTGCTCTTAGGACCCTCAACATTTTCCTGTAAGGTCAAGCTTATCAGTTCACGCTTGTTAGTGTGAAAAACTCCTTTCCTATCACTACTTCTGCTACTTTCCTTATCCTGTCTTTCTTCTAGAACAAGTGGACTTGCAAGATACTTCACTCCCTGTTTTGGCAAACACTCTTGTTCTGTGAGAGAGAGTTCCGCCTATGTGTATAGTTGTGGGCTACACACACCAGAGGGTTTATCAGGCAGAAAGTCTTTCTTCAGCAGGTGCCAGGGCATTGAAAGCAGGGCCCCTGCTGGCTGGCCCCCATTGAGTTGTGAGTGCCCTACCATTTCCGAACGGTGGCTCTGAGGGACACCAGAATCAGTTTAAGAGGACTGTACTATATTTATCAGTTCATGGGGAAGACTGAGACATATTTCTACTGCATGAGGAGCAACATGATCTCTAGAATATGGGTAGAATAGAGACGGTGAGTTTTGTTTAGTACAGAGCTGTCTGAAATTCTCTATGATGATAACATGTATTCAAACAGAAGTTAAATTCCAAAGTCTTAAAGGAAGTTGGCCCAAGGGTGCTCAGAAACATAGCAAATCTATTTTGAAATCTGGATGTCCATTTTTGTGGGTGTGTGTGTAGCAAAAGCAGACAGCTATGTGCTGAACACCAAGTTAGGATAGGGAAGAGAAAGTTTTATAAAATAAGAACGAATACAGTTTAATAGACACAAACTTGGTCTTGAAAGACTAGGTTAAAGTCCTAGCTCTGTCACTTGATACCTGAGTGGCCTTGCATAAGTTTCCCAAAAAGGGAATACAGCTTCTCAGCTCCCTTATGGTGTCAATGTCAATGTCATACCCACTAGTTTGGACTCCTTCTAAGGCTCTGAGAGAGGCTCTAACAATGTGTTTACCTGGTCAAATATCTTTTTAAATTGGTAAAAATAAGATATACTAACTGCAATGCTATTGGGTGCATGTGCTCACCGTAGAGATAGAGAGATAGAAAGTAAGAATTCCCTCAAGGTCCCCCCCCCCCCCC